CATAAAGGACATGGATTGATCACAGGATCATAGCTATGTGTAGACCTGCTTGCTCTTATTATTTCCAAGGAATTTGAGATGGAACTGAAAAGGTCCACCCCATTATTAATCTGTTACAAGCAGACTTGGTATCCTTCAGACCTTATCTTCATCTTCCCTCCTTCAAACAGTACTTCAAATAGACAAACATCCCCTACTCAAATGAGTGACCAAAACAGATGACCGTCTTTCCTCCTAACAAACGTCAAATGCCCAAATTGGTTCCTTGGGAACCCAATCACGTAAAACAGTGCCTGCTGAAATAAAGTTGCTCCCTTGAACCCAAATAGCAGAGACAGGGAAGAAGGGTCCAGTATGCACTGCCAGCAGGACTTGCCAAGAAGCAAATTCGAGCATTATGCCCAACGTTCATTTCTCTAACATCAACCACTCACCACGAAGGGCCACAGATTACAAAAGTGTGCTCCAAATTCAAACAAGTCTAGTTTCCCTTCCCACAGTACTCAGAGTTTCCCTGCTGTTGAACAGAAGCTGAATGGTAAACGGCTTTGACTCTCTGGTTTATAATCCGCTTTTACTTACCCCAAAGTTAATGTGTCTGCTCCCAACTTCCATTCTTACTCCAGCTAAAGCCAGTGGAAGAACTCAGGGGCAAGTACCTGGAAAGTCCTTGGAACTAAACTGGTTCCAGTAGCCACAGGAAGTTTTCAGGGGTGATATCTGCTAATTGATCCTGTTCAGAGTCACTGTTTGCTGTTACCACCAAACTAAGCCTATTCCCCTCTACTTGTGGTCAATGAAACGAGAAACAGAGACTGGAGAAGGAGGTAGTTTCTTTATTTCTGCAGCCAGGATACAGGGACACAGCCAGCAAGCACCCCCAAACTGGCTGGATAGAGCTCAGCATGTTCTTGTATTATGGAGACAAGATACAAGCATGTGAAGATCATCCCTCACTCCATCAGAGCCAGTCACTTTTCCCTGTGTAATTATTCTGATTCCTGTTGTATTTCAAATGCCCATTCCTGGCTTTCCATTTGACCATTCCTCAAACAGATCTCCCTATGACTCACCTCTTGGTCAGATTGTAATCCTCTTAATTTCAAGATGGCTGCAGTCCTGCTGACCCTCTAATCTGGCTGGTGTTAGTAGTTAGCGGAAAATTGTGTACTCATGATCTGTGTATTCTTCCTAGGTGCAGTATACTTCAGTAAAGAGGTTTTTTTTTTAATTTTTTTTTTTTAAGAAAAGGATGCTTACCTTGGAAATGTTTTAAGGAGTTGATGAAATACTGTGTCACATGTCTGGGACAGAGCAGAAAGCACTCCAAGTAGCAGATTTCATTATTAGTAGTATAGTAACAAGAGTAAGTTCCAGCATGGGGCTCAGGCTTGTGCCCAGAATTTCAGTGTGGGCCTATGGTCCCAGATTCTGGTCTCTGAGTTTTTAGTGGCTGGCGCCTAGCTCCTGGCTGCAGTCCTGCTGAACCTCTAAACTGGCTGGTGTTAGTAGTTAGCGGAAAATTGTGTACTCATGATCTGTGTATTCTTCCTAGGTGCAGTATACTTCAGTAAAGAGGTTTTTTTTTTAATTTTTTTTTTTTAAGAAAAGGATGCTTACCTTGGAAATGTTTTAAGGAGTTGATGAAATACTGTGTCACATGTCTGGGACAGAGCAGAAAGCACTCCAAGTAGCAGATTTCATTATTAGTAGTATAGTAACAAGAGTAAGTTCCAGCATGGGGCTCAGGCTTGTGCCCAGAATTTCAGTGTGGGCCTATGGTCCCAGATTCTGGTCTCTGAGTTTTTAGTGGCTGGCGCCTAGCTCCCAGGGAGGCCACAACCATGTCACATGTCACTCTCCTTGGAGTGACTGCTCCCAAACCCTTGCTGTTGTCATGGGGAAGGGCAGGAAATGCTATACTTGAGGACAATGCCCCAGCCCCTGCCATTTGCATCTGCAAGAGTGGAGCTGGGGCCGGCCTTTGGCTGGTTGTCTGGCACATTGTCCTTGCTGCTATGCTAGAGGAGGAAAGGCCCGAGTTAGGTGGTTTCGTCAGGCACATGTGGTAGCTGTTTTACATCCATAAAGTTGCCATGGAGGCCAAGAACAGAAGTATTAGGTCGTTGCAAAAGTCCTGATGTATTTTTCTTTGCAAAATGCATGACTTTCCTGACTACCCAATATTTTTCAAGATGTCTTCGGAAAAACTGTGTGGCCTGAACTGAAAACAATTATGTGCAATAATGATAGTGCCACAAATAATGACTGCAGGTACCATTGTCCGAACTGTCACTGGTGGCAGACACTGTGCTAAGCACTCCACAGACATTACCACGTTGAATTCTGTCAACAACCCGGGGAGGCAGCGTGTTGTTACTCCCATTTTACAGATGAGGAAGTTGGAGCTCAAAGAGTTTAAGTCATTTTCCTAAGACAGTTTAGCCATTAAGTGTAGTTGTCATTTAAATGCAAGTCTATTTGATTCCAGACTCCAAGCTCTTTTTCTTTCCTTGACCCTTTTTCTATTGGAGGCCAGTAAGGAAAGAAAGAAGAACCAGTTTCATTCATCCTTTCTCTGAATTTATTGTAAGCAGAAGCATGGAAAGTTTCTCTTCCTTCCTTTTTTTCCCTTCCATTTTTCTTCCTTTTTCTCTTTCTTTCTCTCTCTGTGTCTCTGTTACTTTACTTTCCCTTCCCTTTCTTTTTAAGTAATTATTTATTTAGTTAATTTTAATTTGATCTGAGAGGGACAGAGTGAGAGCAAGAGTAAGAGAGAGAGACAGTGAGTAAGTAGGTCGCCAGGTCTGAGACTCGAACCGTGGTCAGCCATGTGGGAGTCCAGCACTCCTAACCACTACGCCACCTACTTTCCCTTCCATTTTTCTCTTTAGGCCAGGTAGCTTTTAAAGGAGTGAGGGCATGAACAGCTCTTTGTATTGTCTATCTCCACATATTCTTAGCTGGAAAAAAAATGTTTCAGGATTTTGAGAAATCTTTCCAAAACTGGTGTTTCACAAAAACAAAAAAAACATGTTTTAAGTAGGTGACATTTAATAAGGATACTCCAAGGAAAAAAAAATTTTTTTCTGTAACATTTGGGATAGAAACCAATCTGAAGTAGTTCTATTTATTTATGTTAGGTAGTTCTCAATGAAAGTGTAAAGAAAGGAAAATCAGAGGAGTAAAACAAAACCTGGCAGCTCCCCCTGCATTTTTCAGGCTGTGGGCTGAGTGAGCACCTTCCACAGGAGCGAATGCTGTATTTCTGCCAGTCAGCACCTGGCCTCATGAGCATCCACTGCTTCTCTTTGGATGTCAGGCAGTAGAGAAAGGAGGGGAGTTAGAACCGGGAAATTGCAAATGTAGGGATAGCATTTTACATTAGAACGATGGAGTTGGGGACACACTCCAACTAAGACAACTTATAAGAATTATGCACAAATAGTAGACTGCACATGAGAAATTGTTGTTTGACCATTTTTGACAAATGAAACAATCATTTCATGTAGTCAACATTGCACATGAACAAGATCTTCTCTTATACTTTATGTTGGATTTAGCTTCTGAAAGTGCTTTTACTTCTACGTAGTATCTCAGTTTCTCCGTGTAATTTTACACAATGAACAGGTTTTTTTTTTTTTTTTTCAGTTGAGGGAAGTAAGACTCTTAAGTGAATAAGTAACTTGTCTAAGTTCAAAAAGTTAATTGCACCAGGAGTCAGCAGTTAGCGTAATGGCTATGTCGCTGGACTCCCACATAGTCGACCACAGTTTGCGTCCCGGACCTGGTGGCTTAAAACTCACGCCAGGCGCATGTGTGTGCGTGCCCAAGATCCCAAGAAGAGAATGGAGGAGAAGGGATTGTGGTGTGACCATCCCCCTGGGGGGTGATTTCTCACTTTCTGTCTCTATGTCTCTCTCTGTCTGTCTGGTGAGCGCATGTGCCCTATAGTGAAAATCTCTCCAAAAAAAAAAAAAAAAGTTAATTGCACCATAGAATCGGTGTCACAAACGTTACCGGTAGCAGATTAGAATATATTGGTTTCAATGAATGAAAACCTAAAACCTCAAAATGCCTTAAGCAAAAAAAGCAAACAAAAATCAAAAACCAGGGGATCTTTTGGCTCCTTTAATCCACATTTAGCACTGGCCCTCAGAATTCACACTGTATCATGAGGACTAGATGCCTTTTATTTGTAACCCAAGATGGTACCAACAGCTCTTGAGGCTGCATCTCACAGGTTCAAATATCATGGAAGAGAGTGAGCAGCTTTGAACCCACATGTCCTGTCCTGCTGTGCTGAGATCCGCTCTGCTTGGACCGGATTAGGCCATGCGCCCACCCCTAACACAATTACTGCTATAAGTACTGAGTGTCGTACTTTTTTTTTTTTTTTGGAGAGGTTTTTGCTATAGGGCATGTGCGCTCACCAGAAAGACAGAGAAAGACAAAGCAAGAAATCGCCCCCTGAGGGATGGCCACACCGCAGTTCCTTCTCCTCCATTCTCCTCTTGGAATCTTGGGTACACACACATGTGCCCCCGGTGTGAGTTTAAGTCACCAGGTCCGGGACTGGAACCACGGGTGGCCACAGGAGAGTCCAGCAACGTAGCCATTACGCTAACTGCTGGTCCCCTGAGTGCTGTACTTTGATTGACCTAACCTGGTCATCTGACTTCGTGGGGCTCGAAACTGACTTCACTGGAGTAACTCAGACTGGAAGTGAGGGGAAACTGAGCAAGAAGTTAGGGTAGATAGATATTGGAGACAAGCGTCCATCACCTCTTTTTAGAGATTACTAGCCCCAAGGTGCTTTCTTCGCAGATGAGGAAAGACCAGAAGAACACCTCCTGCCTCTTGGCACTTGTCACTTGTCACTTCCCACATGGCCACACTGTCTCTCACCTGGCCTACTCATTAGCTCCATGTAGCGGTTTGAGAGGAAAAACAGTATGGTGGTATGGGAGGGAGGATCTAACCCACCTATTTTTTTTCAGTGACAAGTACGAGTCACAGCAGTGAAATACAGGACCATGACAATGAGGGTCAGAACGAGATGCTTGCAGACCAATGTGCTCCTGTTCTGAAGTGGCAGCCATACCAAAGTGATCCTTGGCACAGCTTATTAAACAGTCACTATGAAAAACTGTAAGTGGTTTTAGAAACATCCTAGGGTGGCCTGGAGATGAAGGGAGAAAGGCAGTACTAAATCTCAGGACTGCCCTGAAATATTTGGGCTTCGAGGTCACTCTTGGTCACGTGGGTTGGCCTAATGAGAAAGTGTCTGTCTTACTCCTGATATTTTGCATCCTGTTACAGTTTGGAAATGGTTTGCCCCCTAATGTTTCATGTTTTGGAATTTGGTGTTGGGAAGGGGTGAAGCCTAGTGAGCAGTGACTGAATCATGGTGATTGTATTAGTAAGGTGCCACTCCTTTAGTTTAATGATGTCTCCCAAGACCTATTGAGTAGAACTCATGAGAAAAGGTAAGTTCTTGCAAGGTCGGGTTGCTAGAAAAGACAGCTGCCCACAGCTTGCTCTCTCTCTGCATGTGCCTGCCATTTTCTGCACTTCCACTGGCCATGTTGTATGCCAGCCTGATGTGAGTCCTGCCTTACAGCCACCAGAAATGTGATTCAACAAGCCCCTGACTATTAACGAATCACCCAGAGTCAACCATATCTGTTAGCAGTGCAGTAATGGACTAAGACACTAACTAATGAATAGTTGCCACATGGGTTTCTGGGTTACTAGTACTATAACTAGTACTTTAGCTTATGATAATTTATTCAATAAATGATGCTGGAAGAGGGACTCTTTCTGGGACCATAGGCTCAGTTTAAACTAGAAGTTGGAAAATGGAGATTTCCCACATCATTAACAGTTAATCCTGAAGTTAATTTTCAATACCATAGGATACTTTTTTCTTTTTGGTGTCACATTAAATTGTTAGCCAGTGGCTACTCCCAGAGTCTATGTTGTAAATTAGTATTATATTGTTCATTGTCAGCATATCCTGTGCATCACAGTTGGTGGTTTCTTTATATTAAGAGACTAAAATCAAATCATACAATTTATATTAAAACTAGGAAAGTTTCACCCTATTTTATGACTTTGTAGTTTCAAGAATAAATGTTAACTCAAACGTGCTCATAAGCCTCCTTAAACCTTCTCTTTATTCTTCAGGATATACTTTACCTATCTAAGCCTTCTGGAATTTTCACTGGTTATAAATGCCTTTTTGAAACATTGAAAAACATTAATGGTAAATGAAAATAATTTTAAAGTAATAAATATAATAAATGAGAGACATTGGGCTATAACTTGAGGGCCTTCTCAGTATTTTACAGATTCAAACAGGTCATTACTGGGATTTTCATGTTGGATGACCGAGAAGGAAGAAATATTTTTCTTAAAACAAAACGTAGGGAATTAAACAGATTTTGGGAGTTAGGGAAGCAAAACTAATTGCCAACTGTGCCACTTTAATGTCATGACTCTGTCTTTTCCACTACGTGCAATTAGAAAATGAAATGAAGGGTCCATAGGTCTTGATTTTTAGTCTTAGCTATTTGATTATCTTTTGGGGGAATGGTCCATGTCTTAAATATAAGTACCAAAGTAAGAAACTGCCACACACAGGCACCATGTTTTAATTAAAACCTTTAAGGCTTCCCAGTCTCTCTGCATCTGAGTTGATCACGTTTTCCAGGTAAGTATTGTATCTCTTCTTATTTAAAATTTGCTTTTTTTCTTTCTTTTCTCTTTCCTTCCTTCCTTTCTTTTCCTCTTTTGTTCTTTTTCTTTCTTCTTTTGTTCTGTTTGTTTGGACAGTTGATCTCTGCTCCAATGATCTGTGAGGAAAAGGAGAATGCAGATGGTATTAACTCAAAGGTATAGAGGCAGGTTTATTTTGAATGTTTAGCCATAATTCACTTTTCCTAAACTATAAAGGAAGGAAATATTCATCTCGATTAAAATCCAGTCTCTCCCAATTTCTCTACTTAGATCTTTAAGACAGAAAATCACTTGTTCCTTCTTAGATAACTACATATAATATGTAACAAAAATTTAACTAAAATATCTGAAAGCAAATAAAGTTAGAGCATTGAAATTTATCATCTTTTTAAATGAATGATGTTTCAAATCTGTGTTATTGAAGAACTTTTAAAAGACCAGTTTATTTGACTTTATATTTAGCTTTTGATATCAAAAGCAGAATTGCTATTCTTTGGTAAATAGAATGAATTTCTATCACTAGAGATTGACATTTAAGGTTTAGAATAATCTTCAACAGTATAATTCCTGTTGGTTGATTTGGTATCTGCTTACAAATGCTTATAAATTTCAGGCTCGTGCTGATATTTGAGCTGTAAACTTTACCTTTTTTCTTCAGAGATTTAGACAGTGAAGCATGAAACATCACAAATTTTTTTCTTTTTTTTTTTCTCAACCCAAATAGTTATTTCCCTTGCAGTTAAGTCTATATAAATTTATCCATCTAGCTTTGAGATAAGCATATTAGCTCATCCTTAATGGAGAATTTGATAATAACTACATGTCTTACACCTTTTGGGAACTTTATACTGACTCAGCTTTCTAGAATTAATCTGCTAATTTTCTTATCTCAAGGATAGAGGAGTAGAATTGTATAGATTTTATTATGAAGAGGAGAGGAACTGTTTTGGTTGAGAAAAAAATGTTGATGTTCCTGGGATCAGCAGTTGGCATAATGGCTATGTCGCTGGACTCCCATGTAGTCTATTGTGGTTCGAGTCCTGGACCTGGTGGCTTAAACTCACTGTGAGCGCGTGTGTGTGCATGCCCAAGATCCCGAGAGGAGAATGGAGGAAAAGGGATTGCAGCGTGGCCATCCCTCTAGGGGGGTGATTTCTCACTTTCTGTCCCTCTCTTTCTCTGTCTTCCTGGCAAGTGCATGTGCCCTATAGCAAAAACCTCTCCCCCCCAATTATTTTTTTTTGATATTGCATGTTTCCCTGTTAAAAACTCTGAAGGAAGAATAGGTTTGCAGCTCAGATTTGCGCTGGGCCCTGTGGTTGTGCAGCCTTTGACTGACAGGCTACTTGAGGATAATCAATGACTTGGTGATTGGATCAGTTGGGGAAGTGCTTAACTTGTAAAGAACATAAATACTAACAAGCGCCCCATTAATATTTTCTGTTTCTGGAATTAGAGTAAAATGTAGACGCTATGTGTTGCTCATGATACTAGCAGCCATCCAAATTGTGATCACGGGAGGCAGGACCCCTACGGGAGTAGCATTAAGCACCGCCCAATGTTGCCTGTGATCCTGGGAAGAAGCTTCTTCCTGAGGAAAATCCACAGTCAGGAAACTTCATGAACTGAAAATCATGTTCCATATCCTCAACATATAGGGGGAAATATCACCAAAGAAATTTACAGCTTTTATATTGTCTACTCAATAATGTTATGTGTTTAATATGTTTTCTTTTTATTAACATTTTGGAAGTAGTTCATGAAACATAAACATGAAGCATTTGTTCTAGTCTGTTTTCTGTTGCTTAGTAGCCAGATATGACAAATGGGGTATTGTAAAAGATTAGCGCTTTATTTAGCTCATGGTTCGGTGGTCCAAGGTCCAGGGGCCACATATGATGAGGGAGACTGGTGGTGACTCTGCAGAGCCTTGAGGCAACACTAAGCATCACTTGGCAAGGCAGAGGTGAGATGTGCAAGTGCCTGTGTCTCTGTCACGTCCCCTGTTTTAATAAACCCACCAGGATTCAGTTATGGGGGCTCCACTCTGATGACCTTAATTCCAGTCACCCTTCATAGGCCCCACCTCTTAATCCCATAATTGGATTAAGTTTTCACTCCCTTAATCCTGACACAACCAGATTCCATCACACGAATTTTTGGTGAACATTCAAACCACAGCATTCCATATCCCTGACCCTTAAATGTAATGTCCTTCTCACATAAAAAACACATCCACTTCAGGGACCAGCAGGTGGTGTGGTAGTTAAGGGCGCTGGACTCCCATGTCGCTGACCATGGTTCGAGTCCTTGACCTGGTGGTTGCTTTGTCACACACTCTCTCTCTTACTCACTCTGTCCCTCTCTGGTTAAAATTAAAAATAAGGGAACCAGCAGTTAGCGTAATGGCTATGTCGCTGGACTCCCATGTAGTCGACCGTGGTTTGATTCTCGGACCCGGTGGCTTAAACTCACACCGGGCACGTGTGCGTGCGTGCCCAAGATCCCAAGAGGAGAATGAAGGAGAAGGGATTGCGGTGTGACCATCCCCCCTGGGGGGTGATTTCTCGCTTTCTGTCTCTATGTCTCTCTGTCTGTCTGGCGAGTGCACGCGTCCTATAGCGAAAACCTCTCAAAGGAAAAAAAAATTAAAAATAAATGAATGAATAGATAATGTTTAATAAAATAATTCTTTTTTAAAAAATAATTATTAAATTTAATATTTTTATTCATTCATTTTATTTTAATTTGACCAGAGAGAGACACAGTGGAAGAGAGAGAGAGAAAAAGGGAGAAAGCAAGCCGCCAAGCCCAGGACTCAAAACGTGGTCAGCCATGTGGAAGTGTCTAGCGCCTTAACCACCACACCACCTGCTGGTCCCAATGAAATCATTCTTAAACACACACACACATAAACACACACATCCATTTCATCCTGATAGTCCCTAAAATTTTTAATGCATTCCAACACCAACTCAAAGTTCAAAGTCTAGCTGTGAGTGAGGCTGCAAAATCAAAACAAAGTATATGTTTCAAAAATACAGTGGTGAGATAGGCTTAGAGTAGGAATTTCAATTTCATAAAAAGTAAGAAGTAACAGACCCCAAGCAAGTCTAAAATTCAAGAGGGCAGACATTCAGTATCAGTACTCCAGAATAACCTTTCACCCCATGAGCTACTTTGTGGATGTACTGGTACAGGTATCGGCTCCCAAAGCATTGGAGACCCTTGCTTCCGTGACTTTGGGCTTGGTCTGTGCTTCAGTTCTCTCAGTCGGAGTCTTTGCCTGCAGTTCCCACAGGCTGGCATCAAATGCTGGCATTAAATGCTGGCAGCTCCACAGCTCTGTTGTCTAGACGGCAACCCCACCTCTTCCGTTCCACTAGGCATTCCCTGGTTGAGACTCACTGTGGCATCTCCAATCTCACATTTTTTCCCTATCCTTCTCCCTCTTTGTTCTTTATGTCTTTCCTTCTTTTTCTTTCTTGCCTTTATAAGAGAGAAAGAGAAGGCAGGGGGTTGGGGAAAGGAGAGAGAGAGGAAAGAGAAGACAGAGAGATAAGTATTTTTGAAAGGGCCTCGCTGTCATGATCTTTCTGTTCCAGCCTCCCACTTAGGCAGGATTACAGACATATAAAACTCATCTGGTATATTTGGGTTGACCCAGGAACCACACCCAGGCCTTTCATGCAGCTTCCACCCTTTCAAGTGGTGGTGCTACTTATGCTACCCAGATCCTGACCCCACAGTTCCACTTGGCACTGCCCTAGTGGGGACTCTCTATAGTGGCTCTAGCCCATCTTCAAATATTTGCTGTTAAAACGACAGATCCACTTCTCTGGTGCCAATTTCTGTTTTAGTCTGTTCTCTGTTGCTTAATAACTAAATACATGAAACTCGATGATTTATAAGAATAAAGCCTTATTCAGGTCATAGTTTGGAGGGCCAAGGTCCAGGGGCTACATCTGGCAAGAACCTTCTTGCTGGTGGGGACTTACTGCAGAGACCAAGGTGACACAGAGCATCACATGATGAGACAGAGCAAGAGTGTGCATGTGTCTCTGTCTATGTCTTATTTTCTCTTCTTTTAAATCCACTAGAATTCATTCATGAGGGCTTCACCCTGATGATCTTAATAATTCCAGTTACCTCTCAAAGACCCCACCTCTTAATGCCATAGCTGGGTTAACTTTTTTAACTGTCTTTTTAAAATGTTTTATTTCTTTCTTCCATGAATGAGGGACAGAGTAAGTGAGAGAGAGAGAGAGAGAGAGAGAGAGAGAGAGAGAGAGAGAGAGAGAGAAGCACCCCCAAGAAAGTCTTGTTGTTGTTGCAATCCACCTTTGGCTTCAGCGAGTTCTGAATCATAGGCATGTCCATATCCAGCATGCTCAGGGAGGTCTCTGAATGCCAACCTGGAAACTTCTCATGTGGGTCACAATGGTTCCTTTATCACTGTGCCACCCAGCCCCAAGTGTTTACTCCCTTAATTCCATCACAACTAACTTTCATCATACGAATTTCGAGGAGACATGTTCAAACCATAGCAATGACAAAACAAATAAAGCAAAAGTCTGATTAGCCACCCCACCACCATTTCATTCTTTTTCGCAGAACTAACCACCACAGTCGGTTGTCAGTGTTATTACCAGAAAGCAAGGGTAAAAATGAAATGACCGTACTCTAGTGAAAAACAGGTTTTCAATCAGTAGTGTGATTGGCTCTCTTTAATCTGGCTTAAAAGCTATTAGTAATTCTGAGCAGTTTGTTTTTCATACAACCACCAATAGGCTGAATATTCATCGGAGTGACCGAGTATAGTGTTACTGAGGGAATTCGGAGACTTTTTCTTTTACAGAGGAAAGAAATAGTATTCTATCCCAGATATTTCACAAGTCTGAGTAATGTGATGGCTTCTTGACTTCTACCTTATCACTTTCTCTCGTGTTGTATGTCAACTTAAAAGTCTAGAAAGCACAAGGGGAAAGGCAGGTCCCAAGAAATGATGCCTCCATTTAGAAAGAATTATATTTCTTCCTTGTGAGAAGAAAAAATGATGGGAAAAAGGCCACCATGTTTTGAAATACCATCTTCCTTTCCTTAGGAAAATTCACAAAATCAATCAATCAAATATAGCAAAAGGCACTTTCTATAATATATTTTCTTGAAATGTTCATATGACTAATACAGTTAATGAAAGAAAATGTGTATACCTTTTGGGTCATTCTTCCTCTGTCTGCTTAGGCCCATTCCTACTTCTCAGGAGTGTACTTTGCTTTTACTTAAAAACTACCTTTTCCTTTGGGAAAAAAAAAAGTGTAGGG